CTGGTGACCAAGCCCCACAGAACAAGTCTCAACATGCTCTCTCCCAGTGACAGGTACACAGAGAGCCACAGCCTACTGGTCTACCAGGAGCCCATCAGACGCTGGTCCTAGCTAAGCTGGGTGGTGTGGCAATGCTTGGTGGAAAGTTTTTTTTGTTTTTTTTTTTTTTTTGGAGGGGCAGGGGCACATTTCTGGGTGACAGTGTTTATTCAAAGACCATGTCTTTCTTGAGTTTCACTGTATTTCATCAAGTCAGTTTCACCTCTTTGGAAAACCCAAATGTGTAGACAAATGCAAGGTTTTTTTTTAGCTCTGCAATAACTGCACAAATAGGTGGCATCCAAATCCTGGGTGGCCCGGGACTAATCACGGGTCAACACTGAAGCTTTTTAAGTCATATCAAATTTGCCAGGAAATCTGTATCTCAGACTGTCCCACCCAAAGACCCTGACTCAAAGCTTACACGATTAGGAAAACCAAAGCTGTAAGTAAGACATTTTTGGCGACTAAAGCTCCACTACCGCTGAACTCCTCACGTAAATGAAATCCTTATTTAACTCTTTGCTGCCAGTGTTTTGCCTGTTGTTATTATGTTGTTGTGTGATTATGTGATTATGTTGTTACCCTTTGTTATTATGAGGAAAGAAGAAGAACCTTTCTTACTAAATACATTGCAGAGTTACCCTGTAATTTGATGGCAAATAATTAACACTTCTTTGAGAAAACAAAACTAAAAATTAGCATAATCAGCAACTAATTTACCACAAATTAATTTAAGGTCTTTCTTGGCTGGTTCTATATGTTCCTGGCTTTTGTTCAAGAATATCCTTGCATGCTTATACAATAAAACAAACTGACAAATTAATAACATGGCAATTCTCATAAAGATGGAGAATATAATATTACATGGCTAATTAGAAGCAGATGTGGGGCAATTATTCTTACATGGGACTACATAGTAAGCCATTATTTCTGGTTTATGTGTAACCGATATATTTATTTTTAACAAAACAGGAAGAGAGGCCAGCCGTGGTGGCTTGTGCCTATAATCCCAGCACTTTGGGAGGTCAAGGTGAGGAGTCACTTAAGCTCAGGAGTTTGAGACCCATTGGAGCAACACAGTGAGACCTACATCTCTACCAAAAAAAAAATTTTTTAAACTTGCTGGGGGCCAGGCGCGGTGGCTCATGCCTGTAATCCCAGCACTTTGGGAGGCTGAGGTGGGCAGATCAGGAGATCAAGAGATCGAGACCATCCTGTCTCTACTAAAAATACAGAAATTAGCTGGCCATGGTGGTGTGCACCTGTAGCCCCAGCTACTCGGGAGACTGAGGCAGGCGAATCCCTTGAACCTGAGAGGCGGAGGTTGCAGTGAGCCGAGATTGCACCACTGCACTCCAGCCTGGCACCTGGCGACAGAGCGAGACTCTGTCTCCGAAAAAAAAAAAAAAAAAAAAAAATTGCTGGGTATAGTGATGCGTGCCTGTGGTCCCAGCTACTTAGGAGGCCAAAGTGAGAGGATTGCTTGAGCCCAGGAGTTTGAGACCAGCTTGGGCAACATAGTGAGACCCTATCTCAAAAACAAAAAATAAGTAGGAAGAAATGTGAAAGTTAGGAGTTCACAAATCGAATATAGAGTAATTAATTTTAAAATGTATTTGCTCAGCTGTCATATAAAGGCTAGGGGAATGTTTGAAAGAATATTGCAGTACTTTCTTTTAAACCCAGTTGTGAATTCTACGCTCTATGTATGCCATAGAAAACCCACCATGAGTGCCTAGGCACGTTCACAAAACCCAGGTCAGGTGTCCACTGTAGAATGAAACCCAAATGAAATTGAGCCCAAAGAAGGAGACTAGAAAGGCTCATTTTGGCAAAGAAATCCTATTCTGAACTAATTAATGGATTTTACATCAAGTATTTCAAACTCAGAAAATGAGTCTAAAGTTTTTTGTTTTGTTGTGTTTTGTTTTGTTTTTGCCTGTTTTTTGATTTGGTGTCCGGTTTTTTTGTTTTGTTTTGTTTTGTTTCATTTTGTTTTCAAAGAGCATGAATGATAGGATAAGAAGAAACTGAAACACCTTATCAATCCTATGAGGCATATCATAAGTGACCCTCAAAAGTTAAAAAAATCTCAGCCGGGCGTGATCTCAGCCAGGTGCAATCTCAGCCGAGCGTGATCTCAGCTGGGCGAGGTGGGTCAACCCCGTAATGCCAGCACTTTTGGAGGGCAAGGCGGGCAGAACACCTGAGGTCAGGAGTTCAAGATCAGCCTGACCAACATGGTAAAACCCCATCTCTACCAAAAACACAAAAAAAATTAGCCAGGTGTGGTGGTGCACACCTGTAGTCCCAGTGACTCAGGAGGCTAAGACAGGAGAAAATTGCTTGAAGCCAGGCTGTAGAGGTTGCAGTGAGCTCAGATCTCACCACTGCACTCCAGCCTGGGAGACAGAGTGAGACCCTTTTCCCAATTAAAAAAAAAAAAAAGTTAACCAATCTCATTGTTTGGAGATCTATTTATTTCCTTAAGAAAAAAAGAGCTAACAACTGAGCACCAAGCCAATCATCGAATAAAGCATTATGGATAAGCTGCCCATGCCATGCCACTCCTGGTGCTATGCCACATGCCTACACAAGCTCCTCCCAAGCAGCATCTGAGAAAACAAGTCGTTTTTACTTTTCATAACATTCTTATCCTTAGAAATTGGAGGCAGTTAGGTACCTAGAGGGACTTTCCCTGAAAATAAATAGCATAAATAATGGCAGGGATGAAAAGGTAACTGCGTCTGTGCAAAATCAATGCAAGTTTATGGGAGCAGCACAGATGTAACAATAGAACTCACATGTGTACTATGCTTATTTCCAGCCAGGCACTTTGCTAAGTGCTTTCTGTAATCTAATTCTCGATTTCCCACAGTACCCTCAAGGGCTAGGTACTATCATTGCCCCCATTTTATCAATGAGACAACAATGATACCAGAAAGTTAAGTCACTTGCCCAAGGTCACACAGCAAGAAATTAGCAAAGCCAGCATTTGATCCCAGACCCACTGGCTCTAAAGTCCATGCTCTCGATCACCACACTAGCACATGCCAGCAGCCAGCCACCCATTCAAGCCTTCGCTACATTCCACACCTGTGTTCTGTGCTGGAGATAGAATGATGCATTTCACACAGCTGAGGAAAGAGAAAAGCAGGCTAAGGGCAGAGCCTCAACAGGGACATCCGACCCCAGCAGGGACTGGGAGAGATGATGTCCATACTAATTCTTGGGCATGTAGCAGGTAACCAGGCAGGAGGGCAGACAGGGGCAAGGAGTAGAAACTCCATTCAGGCAGAGGCTACATAAGGCACAAAGTTTCAAGGCAGGAAAGAACATGGCTCCCTCAAGGAACAGTAAGTAGTTTAACCCAGCTGGTATAGTGGGACCACGGATAACAAAGGGTGGGGACACCCAGCAATGCCAAGCCACGGCCAGAGAGAAAGGAGGCAGAAATAGCATCATAAAGGGCCTTGTGGGCTGCCTAAGCAGCGGGGATGTACCTGCAATTCTGCAATAAACAACTAAGGAATTTTGCAGGAAGAAATGAAGTGATCAGGTCTTGTCCCCAGCTCACTGGCTATTACAAAGAGACAAGATGGGAAAGGACAGAGAAATGAAACAGGGAGACTAGCCAGGAGCTGTGACTGTACATCAAAACTGTGCTAAGAGGCTGGATGCTGAAATCATAAATCCCTGCAACCAGAGCAATGAGAAACTTCTTAAACCCAGGTGATGGAGTGGAGCAGATTTGGGGCCACACAGCAGCACTCTGCTCCAGCTCTTCCCAGTGGCCTCCCAGGGGCTGGTGTCCTGAGGTTATGTCCTAGTGACTTGAAAAAGGCCGGAAACAGCACCTTCACCTTCTCTCTAGGGAAGAAATACACACCTGTTGTTTTCCAAGTCCCTTGCCACCCAAACAATTCTTAAAATCCTGATGTTAATCACTTTTAAAGCATTTCCTTTTACTTATTAAAATGGGCTTGCATTTCAGCCAGAGAGGTTTAGACGGTTACTGGTTTCTATAAGCCTGAAGGTATTTCTGAAGGATTATGATTCAACACGAAATGCACATTCTTGACCTTATTATCTCCAGCTTTCCTGGGTCTGGCCAAAGGCCCTCAGAAAAGGCTTTTTAAACAAAGATCCTGGTGTGAACTGCTGATGGACTTTGTTCCCTTATTTTTCATTGTTGTAAATAATTCCTGTTTAAATTCAAAACTTCCTTCTGTGTCTCTACAGATTCCTTCACAGAAGCCTTGCTCTCTTCCCAGGTGAATTGAGGTTAAAAACATGACATACAAGCAGATGATGCTCAATCCACCAGTATCATGTATTCTTTCAAATTAAATGTTAAAGGTTCAAAAAACATTATGTCAATAAGGTTCCACTTTTCCCCCAAAACATGAATTGTTGATTCTACCAAAATGGGACACCTTTTTGGAGTTGAAGACATTGACCAGCTCTGGGCCTCTGAGATTGGGTCTGGAAGGCACCTCCCACATTGAACTTACCTGTTTGCATTTTTTAGCTTCAGGTATTAAAGCTTCCTTTGTCGGAAATCCCTTTGAACACCAGCTTTTTTTTTTTTTTTTTTTTTCTTTTTTTTTTTCTGGTTAATTCGTTAATAGCCTCCTTACTAGAAGGGCCCATTAGGATTTCAGGACAAAGGACAGCGGGGTGCTGAATCCACAACCCTCATCCTCATCACCCCCACCGAACTCCCATAGCCCCCACCCCCAAAGTCTGCTTCCAAACCACTGTCCTCCCACAAATGCTCTGGAAACTCTTCTTCAGGAAATCCCTGTTGTCCCACCTCCCTCCCGCGCAAGGAAGCGCCTGGTGGCAATCAGGACACCCACCGAGGTCTCCTCCCCGCGCGTCCCCCTGGGATCTGAGAAGACCAAGACCTAGAACGGAAGGGGGTCGTCCTAAGAGCTGAGGGAAGCGATCTTTACCTTGACAAAGAGGGTGATGTCGTGCTCCTGCCCCGGGGCGCGCTCCTCGGACCGCTCTCCGTCCTCCCGGCTGCCGTTTACCCGCGCGGCCTCGTCGCCACCTTCCGTGGGGCCCTCCTCCGCCAGGTGGTTGCTGAGCTGGGCCTGGGCCTCGGCGGCGCCCCTGGAGGCCTCCCGGTCTGGGCAGCAGTCGGTGGATTCCTCCTCGCCCCCGGCTGCGGCCTCCTCACTGGGCCCCTCCGGGCTCTGCTCTCGCCTCTCCTCCTCCTCCCCCAACTCCTGCTGGGGCCCATCCCCGACCCTGTCTTCGCCAGCGTCTGCCCTCGCGTCCCCGGGAGCCTCTTCCTCGGACCCCTTTTCCCCAGGGGCCTCGGCCTCCTCCGCCACGTCCCGAGCGAGCTCCCCCAGGCTGTGCCCCTCGCTCTCCCCCGCTGCGACCTCAATCTCCTCGGCCTGGGGCGGGAGGCTGCGGTCCCCTCCCTCCTGAGGCTCACTCGAGACCCGGCGCGCCCCTCCTGCTGGACCCTCGGCGTCCATGCTGTCCCCCGCCGGGCCCTCCAAGTCTGCGCTGTCCCCCGCCGGGCCCTCCAAGTCTACGCTGTCCCCCGCCGGGCCCTCCAAGTCTGCGCTGTCCCCCGCCGGGCCCTCCAAGTCTAAGCTGTCCCCCGCCGGACCCTCCGCGTTTACACTGTCCCCCGCCAGGCCCTCCGTGTCTACCCTGTCCCCCGCCCGACTCTCCGCTTCTACGCTGTTCCCCGCCGGGCGCTCCGCGTCTCCTGTGTCCCCCTCAGGGCCCTCAGGGTCTACGCTGTCCCCCGACGCCCCCGGCGCACTGCCTTCCGACGCCTCGGGCCGGTGCTCCGCCTCCTCCTGCCTTTCGGTGACCGTGGAGTCTCCCGGCGCCCCCTGAGCCTCCCCCGGGTCCTCGCCCTGCGCGCCGCGCCCGGGGCTCGCCCCCTCCACCTGCGGCGCGCCGCTCGCCTCCTCCCCTCCCTGGGGCACCTCAGGCGCCCTCCGGGGCTCCCTCCTCCGCCTCCGCCTCGCCCTGCGCCGCTCCGGTGCCCTGCGCCTCGGGTCCCCGGACTCTGTCCAGCCCGCCGCCTCCCGCCTCCTTCACCGCGGCGGCGTCCCTGGTCGCCTCCTCTGCGCCCTCGCTCGCCTCCCGCTCCTCTGCTCCCCCGCCCGCGGCTCCAGACTCTCCGGATCTCTCACCCAGTGGGGGGCCCTCCGGCGGCCCCTGGGGACCCGGGGCACCCCCCTCAGGCTCCGCGGCCTCAGCCATGACCGCAGATCGTTGTCCTTGATCGGGACCCCTTCCCTGAAGCTGCCCAGGGGTCAGTGGCGCTGGGCAAGGGGCGTGCTGCGGAACCGTCCGTGTCCCCTCCGAAGGACGCCCTCTCGGGATTCTCGCCGTAAAGATTTATCCAGGGTGCTGGGGCCTTGCAGGGGACCCTTGGTCCCAAGGCTCTGAGCCCCTTCTGCCCGGCTGAACCTCTCTGGACTCTTGCTCCACCGCTGGAGCTTCTCCCCGATTGCGTGTCTGCTTCCCTCCCGGACCCCAATCTCGCCCCCGAGCCGCAGAAGTGTAGCGTGTGCTGGAGAGGGCTGCTTTACTCCTGCACCTTTGGAAGTGTCCGGCCGCTGTCCGGCGTCCTGGGGTTGACCAGAAGTCCTCGGTGCTAACTCCATCCCCTGGGGTTTGGGTGGGGTTTATTTTCCCCTCCTCCCCGCTCCTCCCCCCATCCCCCGAGTTTGGGTGGCCTGGGAACTTGGCCAATGACAGCCTTTCTCGTGACCCTTGTGGATTTTGATGAAAAGATTGGGGTGTTTCCTGGAATGGCTTCAAATTCCAGAGTCACTTAAATCACCCCCTCCAAACACACACACCCACACCCAAACACCTCATCCCCACCTTACCCCAGGAGTGAAGCATCAAGCTACCCTGGTACCCAACTGAAGATATCCAGGTTATACCTGGTGTCCAAGAGCAAGGGTGTAAATCTCGGAGAGAAGAAGCAGGGAGGTCACGATGGCCACCACCTTCCCAGTGTCTGCAGGGCCCTCCGGAGAGGTTCCAGAAGCCCCTCATATAGGCACACAAGGAGCCAGTTGAGTTTCTCTGAGCAGAGCCGGACACTGGTGTCCATGAGGGGCCCTTCTCCTGGCCTGCCTGGAGAATCGTGGGAGTCCTGCGCTGGAAAAAAGTTACACCCTCATCCCCAGGGTCTCTTAAGACTGTAAGAGTCTGTGTATCTTGCTGATTCTCCTAGATTTTTAAACTCACTACCAGTGCTTCTGCCTCAAAGTGAAGAGCTTGGGGGTCTGGAGGTGGGGAAAAGAAAAGCCAAGATGCTATGGAATTCCCTGGATTAGGGCTCTCTCAAGATCACAGACCCAATACCTTGTTTAAAAAGGAAATTATTATGGTGAAAAGTATGTTGTAAGCTTATTATAAGCCAGCCTACTTCTAGTGAGTCAGCAAGAAACTGGATTACCCCAGGTAAGACTGACTTGACTTGTCAGGCTTTATATGGCTTTGATATTGGCCTGAGATACATTAGCCCCTTGTGCCCACAGAAGGTTCTGTTTTCATTGAAAGAGCTCGGGGTGTCTTTGATGTGGCTTGGGGTCACACATTTGGACATCATCAGAATGTGTCTCCTAATTCTCATTGCTCATAGCTGACAGATGACAAGACAGGAACCCAGAGACACCCAGCTTCATGCTACCTTTCTCCACAACTGTGCTCTGTCTGGGTAGGTATAGGCCAGAAGCTTCATCACCACAAAGTGGCATCTACTCAAAGCATGACACTCACAAAGGTGAGCTAGAGATGCACCTGAGCTGTAGAAGCTCTAAGTACCTAGAAAAGGAATCCTGCTGCATTCACCAAGGCAAGACAGCAGCCATCACCCCTACCTTGTAAAGAAAGATGAAGCCAGCACATTCAGCCCCGATCAGCAAACATGGTGCAGGTTTACAATCCTTTATGCAAGTCCCATAAGCCCAGATGTGTTTCAGAAAACAGAATTGTTAGAAAGATGATTGACTGATTTGACTGTATATTATATAACACAGCACATCACTTTGTTATCAAACACATTAATATTTCTGCAGTAAGACAGATGAGATATGGTAAAATCACACGTAACTTCAGGTCTGTCCTCCACCCCCGGGTTTAGGTTCACCTCCAACTGAATTCAAGCCATTCTGGTTCTGATTTTACATGAGTTCCCAAAAAAAGCTTTCAGTATTCAGAGCCTTTTAGGATTTCAGAACGTTTATAAAAGAATTGTGGACCTGTTAACCATGGAAGGGCTCTAGGTTTATTTACACTGCTTAGAAAAATGTGAGATTAGTTGGGTACATAACTTTGTCCTTAATTACAAGTGAACTGTCTTCAACACTCGACTTCTGCAAAGAACCAAATTAAAGACTTACGTGAGTAATAATATTCCATAAACTTTAGCTCAATCAAATTTGATAGGAATTTGTTGGCTATGGGGAGAGGGGTTGAATTTCTAGAAAAATTTCCTTTTGAATTGAGCCTAAAGATGATCGGCTACTGTTTGCAGACTTGGCACAGTCAGAAACAAAGCTGTTGGCTGAGTGGCTGAGAACTGGCCTGGATAATGTCCTTGTGGAAAAACAATGCTCATAAAGTCTATTCTGTCCTGGAAACTGATCCTATGGATCACACAGGCTATTTGATCTTACAGATTTGGATTTATTATTTTATAGGGTTTGGGGTCATTTACTCACGTTGACATTGGCTCTCAAAATAACATCATTCTCTCTGCAGAATGTAAAATCTTTCACTTAATGATAATCTTAATAAGCATTTTGAAATTTTTCTGTTAAATATTTTTGCAAACTTTTTTGATTTTCTGTATTTAAATAAAGTTTATATTTAAATAAATGCAGGCTCAATCCTGAAAATACAGAAACAGAAAATAACAGCTCTTCACAAATTTTCCATAACCAAATTACCGACAACTAAATATTTTATTTTAAGAGGGAAAGAGAAAGAGATAGATTGTTCTAGACTCTGGATATACCGCAGTAAATAACATTAGGAAGGTCCCTCTTTAAACAGTCTGGAGCAAAATAAATAAATAAATAAATAAATAAACAAAGAAATGAGATAATTTTGGATAATGTTACGCTTTCTATAGACACATATGCCCATGTGTTTACAGACGTGCCCAAACTGAAAACTTTGGCTCCTTTTTTCCACATCCTGCATCCAACCTGCCAGTAAATCCAACTGGCTTCACATTTTTAAAATATATATCCAAAGCCGGGCATGACTCAGGAGGCTGAAACAGGAGAATCGCTTGAGCCCAGGAGTTCTAGACCAGATTGAACGCATCATAGTGAGACACCATCACTAAAAATACACAAACACACACACACACCCACACACACATACACACTCACACACATAAAATCCAACCTCTTCTCTCTACCTCCATTACTACTGTGCCAGCCCAAGCCGCCATCACCTCCTGTCACCTCGATGATTGCCATCACCTCCGAACTGGTGCCTGGCCTTTAACAGTGTGCTCTCTACTCCATAGCCAGCAGATCCTCCTTGGAAATCATGAATCAGACCATACCACTTTTGTACTCAAAATTGTTCAAAGGTTTTCTGTCTCACTCTAAGAAAAAGTCAACTATTTATGCCTGAAGTAGAGGTCCTACAAAATCAGGCAACCTCAGTCTCTTTCTGGGGTACCAGACTTCTATGGCCCCTAAAACACCAGCCTGCTTGCTGTTCCTAGAACTCGTTGACCATTCCTGTGCCTGGGATGCCACCTATATTCTCATGGCTTACTCCCTTACCTTGCCACAGTCTCTGATTAACTATTTTCCCCAAGCACTCCGTTGTAAAACACAACCCCATACTGTATGCCTTATTTTCCTCTGTAGCAGCTATCTTCATCTAGCACATAATATATTCTAGTTATGATCTGTCTACCCTCCCTCACAACACTAGGATGGTGGTTCTGTGAAAGCAGGGGTTTTTGTTTGTCATTGCCGAGTACAGACCAGCACATAGTAGAGCTCAATAAATATTTCCAGTATGAGTGAATACCCACATGCCTTCAAATACATGTGGACCAACCTGAACTAGTTTTGAAAAATACCTTTCTCAGTTAGTTTTATACTTTTGAAGGCTGAGCTAATGTCACAAGACACGCTATTCACAGAAATTCTTATCTACTGAGTTTGCTCAAAAAATACTTTAGCAAATTCTTTTAATTATTAGCAAGGGTCTAGTTGGTTCATATAAAGAAATACAAAGGAAATACCAAATAAACAGACTTGTGAAGGTCGCTATGAAGTCGCTTAGAGACTTGCACATTGTTAACCTGGCCTCAACACTAGATTAGCTATTTAAATACCAGGGAGGGTTAAACAGAGGTGACAAATTCAGAGATGGATGACAAGAGATGAAGGTGTTGATAATTAAGTAACTTTTAATAATTATAGAGTCCTTCTGCCACACATTATAAGGAATCGTGAAGCAGGCAAACTCTGGGATTACAAAGAAAACCTTAAGGGCTTATAAACACTGTAAGGGTTTGTTGCTTTTGTTGTTTTTCCAGAAGGAATGGCCTCATTTCCATAGAAATCTGCTCTTTCTCTAGCAGGTATCTGCTCCTTTCAGAAGAGCCCTTGGGATTATAATGCCAGATATTGAAAGTGACTTCATCCTTCTATAATGCAGGACATTAAAATATTTATCCTTTGATTGACCCTTGCCAATATGCCAGCATCCATAGCCCTGAGCACCTATTGACATATAACACTTTAGATAATTCGATGTCTTACAGGAAACACTGGGGAAAACAAACAAACAAACAAACAACAAAAAAAAAACGGTAAATAAGGCTAATGAGAAAGGATGTCACTAGAGCATGTTTTGTTCCCATGTATCCAGAAAACACCCCTCATCTGCCAGGAAATAAGTAAATTGTGAATAGCCAACAGATGCACAACTGGCCATTGTGATATCTTACAATCTTTTGTTTTTACCAATTTACCTGACTACAGGTCCGTGAAAAAAAAAAATGTGTGCCATATCTCAAAATTAAGTCACCACCTCTATATGATATAGTCATAAAATTGTAATCTAGAAAGACTATTTCTATACTATTCACAGAATTGAGAGGATCTATCCATCCATTATCCACCCATCCATCCACCCAACCACCCAACCATTCATTCATTATCCATCCATCCATCATCCATACACACATTCACTCATCCATCCACCCACCCATCCATCCATCCATTTATCATTTCATGAACTTTTTCTGAAATTGACTTCATCCTTTCTTGTGACACGGGCTCAGCTGGTGCTGGAGAAATAA